TTTCGTTTCTAAAGCTATATAAAATGTGTGAAGATTTATGAAAGAAATACTGTTAACTCTACGTATGTAGTGACGATGGAAACTTGTGGTAAGTTTTAACTATACTGTTACTTCTAACTGATAACGGTAAACTAGAAGTTAAGTATATCAACATATGTTTCATGACTATTCAGTTAAATAAGTTAACTAAAAAAAGAAATTGTTTTTGACATAATAGTCTTAAAAAAAGGTTAATATAAGGAGTATTTACATTGCCCTATAATTTGTGGATTAAATCAGTTTAAAGTATGCAATTAAAAAAAAATGAACGTCAATATTAATTGAAAAAAAATGAATATTTCATTATCGATTGTTCAAAAACGATAAAATAATTGCACGTTTAACCTAAGCATGTAGTTTTTCACAATAATAACGTCTTTGAATTCAAATCTGAAGGTTTTGTCACGCTGTCTGAGTTAGTACGTGTCAATGACATAGTTGTAGAGTTAGGGTGACGATGATTTAGATTTGAATTAGGATAATATATAAATATATATAAAATAGGAGTGTTATATATTAAATAGGCAGACCCTGGGTAACGCTGGGAAATTGCCAGGAAGAAGAAGATATAAAATAGGAATTTTCAGTGTATTAAAAATGACTGAGATGATTTTGATTAGAATTTCTTAAAGTGATAGTTGTTGTAAAAATAAGTTATGTTAGTTTTTTTTGGAATTTAATTTAGATAAAAAAATTATCGGATTTTAAATGGACATACAATTATTTCGTGTTTATCTTACTAATACAGTTTTATAGTTAGTTATAAAATATATTTTTTATAGTAGTACTAATAGATTATATTTTTATAACCTAGGTACATTTTTTATTCAATGGAATGTAGATTTAAAAGTTACAATTAAAAATTAATTTCAAAGTCATGTTAAAATATACTAAATAACAATCGCGTGAGAAAATAATTTAGAACGAAAATTATATAATTACTAATTGATTGGAGAATATTTTTTAACATAATTTTTGAATAATTTCAACGTTGCCATTAATTGAAGTAAAAAATGTCTCTTCAATTGACACGCAATTATAACGATTAATATTTACAAATCTAACTTAGACCTTAGTACGTACAGTTTTGTGAAATACTTCGAAACCATCGGTTTTCACGTTAAAACGTCATAGTTATAGTATCATTTGAACTTATATGTATCCATAAAATAGATACTGAAAGATAAAAGAACATTTATCGACAAATTTCCTTATATTTAATGATTTTATTGTGATTATAAAGAATAAATTTTTACTAATAATAAATGATAAAACGTATATTATGTTACTATTAAAATTTATAATTTATTGGCTTTAAATACGTAAATTGTTTCTCATTTAAAAAGTTTGTATATTTTTTGAAACTTTTTCCTCATCTGTGCTTCAAGTAATGAGGAATATTGTATAATAATGTAGGTGACAAAATAATTATTTGATTATTTTTTATAATCAAGTATATGAAAACCACATAATACATGTATTAGCTTATTTTAATAACATACCAAAAATATAATTAATTTTAATTTAAATACAATAATGTAAAAACTATGCAAGTAATATTTCAAATATATTTTTAATTGAATTTTTATATTAATTTATAATAAATTATTTAGTCTAGACACATAAGTTTAATAAATAGGTATATTATTAAAAGTCACTACCTTGTAAAAGATGAAAAAAAAAAATAATTATATAATAAAAGAAATTGCATAGTTATAATGTGTAAGACTGCCAAATAATATTTTAAAAAGTTGGTAATATTAAATTAACATACTAAAATACCAACAAACCTGTCCGTATGTGATTTCTAAACGCACTTTTTTTCACACAAACACACAAATATCACACGAACTATAGGAAAGTATAAAAAACTATTTGTTTAATAAAAACTCATTCATGTAATAGAATATTTTTCGGTTTTAAACAACAACAATAGTTTTATTTCAAAGTTTTCAAAGCGATATTTATCAAGCTACACAACCACTCGCGCATAGAATTTATAGCGACTGGTTACAAGTTAAAACTTAAAACTGTAAAAGGTGTCGAGACTTTATAGTGTTGCCATATACCAAGTTAAAAATTCCATTTAAAGTGAATAATTTCAAGGAGAATAAGCCATCTTCTGAAAAGTGCATAATACGTTTTTCAATGGCTAAAATATTATTTTACATTCAATGAATTATATAATAACTTAGTATTCCTTTAGTATTGATATGTTTTTTGTTATGATCTATTATTATTTATTATAGTATTAGAATATATTTTATCTACTTTGAAATTTCAGTATTAAATCTAAAAAGAATAATAATAATAAATTATAATAATTATACGTATTTTTTGTCTTATTAAAGATTTATTTTTCATTACATAACTGGCAACACTGATTGAGTGACTGACCAACTAATGACATTGAAGCTATACTCACACTACCAAACCTTTTGCGAGTATGGTTTTCCCGTCGGAAGACTTTTATAATTTTTGATTCACAAAAACCTGCGTGACATCATCAATATATATCTTGATATTTGTATTAATATATTATTACAAGTGGCGCCATCTGTGCCGTACTAATTATAATATACTTTAATCCTTAAAATTATTTTAATAACTGATAATAATTAATTATTAATGAATTTACCTGTGGATAAAATTGTTGAAATTTGATACTAAATTTAAGGTATATAGTAAATTATATTGAAACCATTATTTGTAATTATTAATAATTAATTATAATACTGAATTGACGTTTTGTTTTGAGATAGCAACTTTAGAGTATTAATTTGGATTTGAAAACTTTAAGTACCGGCTTCATCTATTTTTTAGGACATTACTAGAATAAAAGCCGAACATTCAGAGTAAAGACTAAACAATAGATCACGAAATAATTAATATTAAAATTTTAAATGGCTGTCGTTTCTTTGGAATATTACTTAGGTATGACTTTTCTTTAAGTCTCTAACTATCAAAGAATGCTTAGAATATTTATATTAATTAAAATATCTTAGAAATCTTATGTTTTTGGCAATAAATAAGGTGTTATGTTCTAGCACAAATGACTGTATGTATACAATTTTATATAATATAAGTCAAAATAATACATTTTAAACATCGTGTTGTTAAATATTTTCATATAAATTGAAAATACAATTAACTTTCTAATCAATAATTGATTTTCGCACCTTTTAAAGGCTCACGTAAAAAAGTTATGGCTCTGAACTCTTAGTACAAGTTTTGCATCGATACGTAAATACTGATAGTCTGTCGTATTTCATATAGAAATATATTAACGAAGAACCAGATACTTTATTAGTTAAATGTATCAAAACTTATGGTAATTGTAGGATCCTCTAGTCTTATATATAAGTATAACTAGTCACTGTCTCACTACTACCCCGCCTAGAGTGACGCACACCCCCGTTCTCCGCGCTAGTCATTAGACTGCCGAACGCATGCCGCCCCCTCTAGTGGGGTACGTGAGACAGTGTATTATATATATTTTATAGATACATACACTACAGTAATATTGTGTAGTTATAACCCTACTAATATTATAAATGCGAAAGTAACTCTGTCTGTATGTTACGCTTTCACGCCTAAACCACTGGACTGATTTTAATGAAATTTGGTACAGAGATAGAGTTGACCTTGAGAAAGAACACAGGATAGTTTTTATCCCAGACTTTTGAAAGTTTCTCTTGGAAACGCGATATAACCGAACTTGATGCGGGTGAAGCTGCGGGCGGAAAGCTTGTTATAAATAAAACACATAATATATATATTTAATTGATATAATTTTTGTACAAATAACGGCGTATAATACATAGGATAGGTCTCACATACAAAACTAATACTAGTCAAGCTATTTTGTCACAAGATCTACACAAAAATAAATTTATCCACAATCTAATCAAACGTGATAAAAATTGTAAACATTGTTTTTGAAATATTCGACTTTTAAGAAAAATGTATTACGTACATTTAATTTCACAGAAGAATTCATTTAAAAGAATGTACGGAACATTTAAATTCATTAATGCGAGTGGCGGATGAATTATGAATGAAAAAAATAAATGAATGAATAAGAACGAATGAATGTTTATTGAAGGAGACCGCAATGAATGTATATAAATAATTTCAAAAAACCCTGTGAAGTATATAATTGACAGAAATTATTGGTGAAAAGAAATCCCTTTTGGGAAGACTTAGGAGATATATAATATAAATTAACAAGAATTATTCACTAAATTTTTATTGTTCTTTGGTCAGGATGTCTTTACAATGGTAAGTCGATTCAAATGTATACGATTGAAATTGTTCTTATTATATCAATACATAACATATAAAGCGTTTTTTTTTGAATTTTATCTACGAGTTATATAGATATAGATATAGATGTAGATATATTCCGTCTATTATAGTGCTGTCAGTAAACAAAGCCACGCGGAATCATGCAAAATATACACGTAACACTTATTATAGAAGCTCAATAGTAATGCTATTTTTAATTCTACGTACATCCTTCTAAAACTTCCATATTAAAATTCCAGTTATACAAACGCTAGTCTTAATCTAACATGAACTAGTTACACTCTCGGTGAAAAACAAAATGTATTTAGATTAAAATTATACGCGTGCTTTTTTTATACTAATATATATATTAATTTTTATTAAGTAATATTTCATATCTAGATAGTAAAGCACTTTGAAGAGATCTTACGTGGAATGGAACGTTTTTATGGAAAGATGAGTGTTCCATTTTTGAAATTTTTTTTTTCTTTTTTTTTTTTATCTAAATTGACTAAATAGTTCTCATATAAAATTCAACCGACGAGACTTTATGAATTCATTATTGCCTCTGAATTATATGATATGTTGTGTCGATTTATTCAGACTTAACACAATTTTTGGGTTTTTTTGAATGAAAACATTTATTTATTAGTTTATTTATAATGATTTATATATTATGGCGCGCATTTGCCGACGTTGTTTGTTATCGTGTGTGGTAGTTTTGATAGTGTTAGTGGTATATCGAAGTCTCCGCTCAATGATATCTGTGAGACGCATCCTATGAGGCCGCTCTTGTATTTCCCCATCGCGTTCATTTCTATCGACGGAAGACCACCTGGGACAGATAATTAAAAATATTGTTATAAAAAATAAAACGAAACTCTTTTGAATTGTATATGACATTGGCAGAATATTTTGCACCTTTGCATGCTTGGAGAATATATGTATAAAAAAAGTTTTTTTTCTATATAGATAGTTAATATTATTTATGGTATAAAAGTGTCAGATTGTAAGTCAAACAAAAATTATTAGGCAGTCTTTTCGTATGTACATATAAATTTATTTATCAATCTTTATACATTATTAATCTCAACTTGATATTTAACTTAAGTAGTTCATGTTAAAAATATTTTCTTATATACATATATATATATATATATATATTCCTACCTATATACAGTCCGTTCTCAGTGTTCAGTTGTTTCAGTTTCCCAGGTGATATTTTTCCGACAGACCCCAGACCGTCCACTTCAAGAACACCTGCTTGTCTGTTCCTAGAATAGAATAAATCTTTATTTAAAACATTAATTTGTAATAAAAAAGAATTTCTGAACGGAATATTTGTTCATTGAATTCGATATTTAAAAGATTAGTTTCTAAAAATAAAATATTGCTAGTCCAAATTGATGATTTTCAATACATATAATTTTCTTTTTCCAATATGAAATTGTTAATTCCTAAACAGATATTAATGTAGTGATTTTCTTGAATATTAGTTATGAGTACTTAATAATGAAGTAATTTATTCAAAAATTTTACACACTTTTATTAATTTGAATAATATTTATAAGTATATTATAATATTGACATATTGACTGAATTAACTATATATACATATATATTAACCTGGTTGCTCTCGCTCTATGCCACAAGCCGTCGTCAACTTTAGTGTGGTTTGCTATAATGACTACCTCGCCGCTGCCAAGATCATATCTGAAATATATAACAATATTATATACTTATATTATTTAAATAAATATTACTCAATTAAATCATTAATATATATAACTAATGGAACATATTTAATTAATTAAGGAAATTAAAAGATCAAAATAAATTCATTAAAAATTTAATGTTTGACAATAAATCAAATATATAAATTGTAAGTGAATAATAACTAATAGGAAATTTATATTGAAGTTAGTCATTTGCGGGACAATATATATTATATCTTTATATATAATATGTAGAAAGAAGTGTTAGTTTCACTATTTATAACTCAAGAACGACTGTATGAATTTGACTAAAATTTGGGTGAAAGATAGTTTAGAAACAGGATACGGACATAGGATACTTTTCATGAGAACGAAAGAAAAACATAAGATGATAAAATTTTAAATCTTCTTATTTACTGTATTTAAAGAAAAACAGAGTTTGTTCAGACAGCTACAGATTTCTAATTCTGAAACTAATGCAGAAAAAGTCGCAGGAAAAAACTAGCATATATGTATGTATGTACTAGCTTTCCGCCCGCAGCTTCGCCCGCGTGGAGTTCGGTTATATCGCGTGTACTAGAGAACCTTTCAAAAGTCTGGGATAAAAACTATCCTATGTTCTTTCTCAAGGTCAACTCTATGTCTGTACCAAATTTCATTAAAACCAGTTCAGTGGTTTAGGCGTGAAAGCTTAACAAGCAGACAGACAGAGTTACTTTTGCATTTATAATATTAGTAGGGATTTTACATACCTGAATACTAGCACGGAGTTTTCAACAGCCAGTGATAGGAAGTCGCTTGTGTGTGTGTTCGTATTGATAGTATTATCTGTGTGTGTGTGAGTGACGCGGCCGCTCCATACTAATAAACCGTTTGCTGACACGGAACGGAAACGAATGTTTATATCCAGGGTGTAGCTGAGCAACCTGAAAATATTAATTGATAGGATAATGATACTTATATATATGGTATAAGATTCATTTTGCTATTCATCATCAGCTTATTACAGACCCCTGTTGAAAGGCATCTTCTCACATGGAGAAGGTTTGAGCATTAATCATTACGCTTGCTTAAGACAGGTTGGTGATTTTAAACTTATATGAGAAATTATAATCTAGATTTCCTCACGATCTTTTCCTTTATCAGTTGTGTCTAAATACTCTTAGAAAGTACATATGATTAGGAAAAATCACATTGGTACTTGCCAGGATCGAACCCGCGCCCTCATGCATGAGAGACGGGCCTTTAACCACTAGGCCACCACGATGTCTTATTTGATTTATATAAAGAGAATTGGAATTTGTGATTTAATTTGATATCTTTTTATTTAAGGTGAAATCTTTTATTAAGAAATATATTTAACTGTGAAACTCCAATTCGAAATACTTTTCTAGGTTTAGTAGAAATTGTTCATATAATCAAACATACATACTGTAAAATGGGAGATTAATATATGCGTACATTTGAGATATCATCATTAGTTTCTGAGAAAAATATTTATATACAGACATACATAATACAATATATATATATATATATATATATATATATATATATATATATATATATAATATCTTACCTTTTCATAGTTTCTTCGTCATCTATATGTATAAAGCTATCAGTTCCTGTAAAACTCGGATAACTATTCATATCTCCCCAATTAATTTCATTAGAATCCAAATATTTCACTTGCATGTATGTCCGTCCATCATAAGATTGCTCCGTAACTCCCTTATCTATATCATTCTGCATTTGCAAGCCATTCTGCATGTATTTTTTGGGATATTTCTTTTTATTTTGATGTTTTTTGGTTTTGGTTTTGTGATTTTTGATTTTGAATCCCTTCTTCGCGACTATAGCGTGGTGGATGGTTGATATATCGTGTGGGTATTCCGGTGTTTGGTCTAAAGTTTCTTTGCAGTCCCTTGAAATATGAAAGAAGGTAAAATAATTAGTTTTTCATGCAAGTTGAGTGAAGTGACCTTAGCGTTTTTTTGGGCATAGGCCCTAAAACCTTTTTTTGTTACAAACAACTTAATATAGTTGGTCTATTGAATAAAAAATTCTATCGTACATTAAGCTGTCGAGATAAACTCCGTGTTTGACTGACTTAAGTAGTTAGTATAGTGTTAATAGCTTAGGTCACTTCACTCAATAAAAAAATTGTCATGCACTTATTGCCGAAAGAGCAAATTTTCTTATCAAATATATTGCTTTATAAATTTTGTAGGCTCGAATAATATACAGTGTGACTGGTGAATTACTATCAATATTTAGGGAGAATACTCGGTACATGATTCTCATTCGAATTATGTAAAAAAATAGGTACTTAATTTTTGACCAAATTTCCGTATAAATAAATAAAGTGTTGACACGTTCCAAGTGTTCCAAGTGTGGACGCGTGCGGCGGCGTGCTGACACAACACTACGCCGCCAAACGCGTATGTGTGTGTGTGTGTGTGTGTGTGTGTATACCTAATCTGTAGGGTGTTCACACGATGCGTAATTAATTACATAACTTTTGGTTAACTTTACTCAGAAGTTTATTAATATTGATGTTATATTAATTTTTATTTTGTCATATATGATCGTCAAATATCACGTCCTCAAATATCGATAGTAATTCACCAGTCACCCTGTATAAGCTATAAGGATATATTAGTTTCATATGATACTTGTAACATTAATTTTATTATTGTTGTGATTTATTGAATATTTAAGTAACAATTATTTGTTAATTTACCAAAAAAATATTGATAAAATAAATAAGGGTAGGACTATTTTTGTATCACGTGATAATAACCAATATATTATGTATAAATAATCAAGTTGAGCAAAATACATAAGTCAGTGTCTATGGAATTCTATAGACAGAATATTTTGAGGACTAGTTACTGACGTCATCAATGCTGACGTCATCATTTCTGATAATGAAAATGGGATTTAATCCGTTAAATTTTGTTGATTATATATATATCTTCCTATGTAATAAATTGGAGTACATACTAAATTGGAGTATCAAATATAAAGTGTAATTCCAAATAACTTGATTTCACTAAATAAAAAATAAAAAATTATGAGATATCTTGAATAAAACCTCATATTTTAGATTGTTTGTCTGTGTTTTTGTTCCAGTTTATATTTAGAACCGACTTCAAAAAGTGGTTCTTAAACCTAAATCTATAAATTGGTTACGTCATCAAATTTTCTTTTATTTAAATGCTGATTTTTAATACTATGTGTGTATGTGTGTGTGTGTGTTAATATACATACGTGCACGTATTGTGAGGAGCGTCACAGTTGTCAACGTCAACGCCGCCAAGAGCAGCGGACACTACTGACAACTCCTCTTCGTTTATCACCAACTGAAAAGTGAACGAATGAGTGAATGAATGAATGAATGAACGAAACATTATACATAATATATATCGAGCATAGTGCAAATCCGCGTAACTACCATTAGATAATTCCGCGTATCTACATTGGAAGCAGATTATCAGAAGAAAGTTTAAGCTGAAATATTTTATTTATCAACGACTTTTAAGCTAATATTTCAGCTTAAACTTTCTTCTGATAATCTGCTTCCAATGTAGATACGTGGAATCATCAAATGGTAGCTACGGATTTGCACTATCCCCGACGATATGATGTTTTAAATCAAATTCCATGTAAATATTGTATTAATTATGAAAAAACGACATAATAGTTTAGATCATCGACATATACTTATGGATATGCCTTAGAGATGAGAATTGTGTCACTCCGAAAGAAAGAGAGGAAACGAAGTTTCGGTCTATCTTTATCTCTGTCAAAATAGCACCGTACTTAAGACGTTATGAGCCAAGCGCCAATCATCTATGAGGAAAGAGATAACGCTAGACAAAAGCATAGGCCATCTCTCTCACTCTTTTCAAACCAAAGAATTACTGCAGATTATACGCGTACGGCATGTCCATTAGTACAGGGTGACTGGTGAATTACTATCAATATTTAAGGAGAATATTCGGTACATGATTCTCATTCGAATTATATAAAAAAAAGTAGGTACTTAATTTTTGACAAAATTTCCGTATTAATAAATAAAGTGTGTACACGTTCCAAGTGTTCCAAGTGTGGACGCGTGCGGCGGCGTGCTGATACAACAACACGCCGCCGCGCGCGAGTGTGTGTGTGTGTGTATACCTAATCTGTAGGGTGTTCATACGATGCGTAATTAATTACATAACTTTTGGTTAACTTTACTTAGAAGTTTATTAATATTTATGTTATATTAATTTTTATTTTGTCATATATGATCGTCAAATACCACGTCCTCAAATATCGATAGTAATTCACCAGTCACCCTGTATATGTCGATGGTTTAGATAATGTAGATATTAAATACTATGATTATAATGGAATACCTTTCCAACACAACCACTGAAGGAGGTTTTTAAAGCGAGTCTCTGTGGCAATGGGTAGGGGGCGCCACCTAGTAACATCGGCTGTGTGAGGGTGAGTCTCCTCGCGGCCCCACGTGACGTGACCGATCGTGTCGTGTCCGTCACGTCGCTCGTGTCGTAGGATCTAACGCGGAGCGACGCGTGGCGACCGGAACGACTTATTGATATGCTGTGCCACTTGTTTGGTGATAATGGGTAGGCGGATCTGTTGTATGGATAATAATATATTTTAATGATACCGTCTTTGAAAATTGGTTTCGAAATCTCATATTGCAATTTGAATGAAAATAATATTTTTCGGATATACGGGTTACATTTCGTCTGTCCGTGATCACGGTTGCTGAAAAGTAGCCGAAAAGTCGGGAGTATGTAGTTTTTACAAAAATTAAACACGCTTAATATATCCGCAAAATATTAGTTTCATTTAAACGAATAAGACTCTTAGAATCTTAGATATTGAAATGTTTATGGATAAAAATGTGTGTTAAATTGAAAAGATATATAGTATAAACATATTTTGATGACCTAATAATTGATAATTACCTCACAAGAGCGATCCCTGAGCCAAGATCAAAGGCGAATTCCACGAAATAATCACGAAGATGAAGAGAGAAGAAGTCTCCGTCACCGCTGGGATGTTCCGCGTTATACAAGAGAAGACCATCACCGCTTGTCGGTTTAACAGTTATCTGGAACATACAGACATACATACATACATACTAACACATAGACATCATCATCAGCCTATCAGAGGCTATAGCTGTAAGGCCTGTTCTCACATGGAGAAGGTTTGAGCATTAATCACCACGCTAGCTTAACGGGTTGGTGATTTCAAACTTATAATTAGAAATGATAAGTCCAGTTCCTCACGATGTTTTCCTTCATCTGTTAGGCGTGTCTAAATAGTCTTAGAAAGTACATATGACTGAGCAAAATCACATTGGTACTTGCCCGGTTTTGAATCCGCGCTCTCATGCACGCGTACAGGCCTTTAACCTCTAGGCTACCACGACTTCATATACACAGATAAAAGAAATTTACAATAAATTATTGTGTAAAAACGCCATGTGTAAACACGGCTTTAAAAAATAAGTGTCATTTTGATGTACGTAAGTGTCAAGTAAACGTCACTGTCAAAAATGTTTTTTTTTTCACTAAAGCCGGGTTCTATGATTGCAAGTTAACTTCAGTTTTTGATCGATAGCCTATTACATATATTTCATGATTTGGCAATATTGAATACTGGGTTAGTTAGCTATAAATAATATTATGAAATAAAAAAGAAATAAATCAATTTAAAAATATTATTTTCGAGTTTCCACCTTAATGTTAAAATATTGAAAGGGGTATTTTAGTGATGTGAATTTTGCATCAATAGTTTTAACGATAAAAGCTTATTTTAAAATATAAATTTAGCTTTGTATTTATTATAATGGTTTTACTGTAATAATGTTGTTTTTCTTATTTTATTTAGTATTATATTTACCTAAATATACATGAATAAAATTAAAACTAGACTTCTTGTGTAAGAGTTCTCTGCTGAAAGTAATTTTACACTTTTTAAAGACTAAACATACAAAATTTAAAAGGAAGTTGCGAATTTGATTTCTTTGTTATTTTTTCCCTTTCAAAAGATATCATTATTATTACCTCTTTTTTCGTTATTTTGACATTTAGCCTAACTTACGCTATACTACATAATATGTTATAAAATACTTGAATACCTTAACTGTCATTCATTCATTACAAAATTGTAATATTACTTATAAATAAAATGAAAAACACACTTTTGTAGAAAAAAAAGTATCAAAATAATTTTTAATTAGGAGTTTATATTACAGTAAGAATCGTGAACAATCCATCATAATTAATAACTTATAAATTAAATTATCATAATTTAACTTATTAAAGGAATAATTCAATTTAGAGTAAAAATTTGTTGGAAAAGAAAATCTTAAACATTTAGTCACGTGACAAAGAAAGTCAATAACAAAATGTTACTTGACGCTGTGAATATGGGATATAAAATATTTGTAACTCCTTTTATATATACTTGACAATAGGATACTAGTAATATTTTACATTGAAACCTACAATACGGGACCTAAGTACGATTATTTATAAACAGAAAACTGTGAACGTCGAGTATTTAGATTTACGATGCAAACTTAGAGTAAGCAAACGATGTAAAATTCAAAAGTTAAAACGAAATATGAGTTCAATATAACTGCATAGTTTTATTAATAAGTCAAATATTTTGTTTTAAGTATTATTTTAGTTTGATGGGTATAAAAGAATTTCTATGATATATTTTACTTAAAAATATAAAATAAACTTCTTACAACATAGCAGTAATATTTTTCGTCCACCTATCGCAAGTCGCATTACATTCGGCCGCAAAGTAATGCTAAAATAGAACGAGTTTCGCTGTGTCTAAGTAATATTTCCTAAATATGTTTGTTGACGACAATATATTGGTTAAAGTTCTTTTTGACATTATTAAGTAAAAAAAAAGATTTTCAGGAACACGAAATCTTAGATTTTATACTTGAACACGTAATAAAGTTTGCTTGCCTTATGGTTTTAAACAACCACAAGATACTTTTTGTATTTTATATAATTAACTGTGTATCATTTATAAGAAAAACAAATGTATGAATGTATGAAGATATTTTCATATGAATATATTTATTTATATGAGTGTTTTTAATGAATACGTACCCGAATATCCAGCCAAGATTGCGCTGTGTTTCCTAGCCCGGGCAATCGTAAGTACGACGAACCATTGAAACGTGGTACCTAGAAAATAATAATTTAATTGTAATTATAAATTATACTAGATTATTATAATAGTCTTGAAGCTAAGATTACTTATATAGTTATAGTCATTATATTAGTTTTGTTTGGTTAAAAGGTGAAATGGATAAAAATTATAAAATATTCATACAATGGCATACATCTTACATTAGAATTCCTATATTTGTTGAATGCATTTGTTTTAATTTAAATAATGTAGACTTGGTTTTTGGGGTATTCAAGATGAACAAATTTATCATTGTTGTAACGAACTATTGAATTATAATGTTATTTGAACTTAACATCCAATTTTCTAATTTTATCTCAAAAAATTATCCCATTTTTGTGAAAACAATTTAGAATGCAATTCCATAGATGACTTCTTTCTTAATATAATAATTATGGATATTTATTTTCAATGAACAAATTAGATCAATTGATTTCTGGATATGAATTTGTTTTATTGAGCCACAAATTTAAGAAGCGTGCTAGTGTCTCACATAGGAAAAACTAAGGTTACTTATATCTATGTAGGCATTTTGACTACCAATTATAATAGAAAATTAGAAGTTAAGATAAAAAGCTGTTCGTAATAGTAAGTCTTATGACATTTACGTGATCATGGACTGATGTGATTGGATGGACCTACATATATGAATAATGAAGAAAATTGGAGGATCACCAAATACTTGGAGAAGACCAACATCATATTAAAATTGATGTCTGGTTCTGTATGTATTTTTTGAACTTTCTCCTAATCAGGACTAAGTCAATATATTAAAATTCATTTAAATGAAACTAATATTTTTCGGATATACTACGCGTGTTTAATTTTTATAAAAAAAAACTACATACTCGCGACTTTTTAACTACTTTTCATCAACCGTGTATCACAAAAAAAATAATCACGTAGTATAATCTTAAAAATATTAGTTTTATTAAAATAAAAAAAAATCGTGAAAATCTAAGATCTCATTATGTGAATGTATTAAAATATTAAATAGAATATTCCAAAGTATTTGCTTATTGAAAACAAGATAGACACCATTCTACTTGTATTTTGTTGTTTTAAAATAAAATAATGCTTTTTAAGGTTCTGACTTTAGTTGAAAATAAAAAAGATAATTCGAATAATTTCTTCGGTATAATGATAAAACGTAGATTCCTTAGTAAATAATATTATTATATTTTCAGTATAGTTTAAATTTCAAGTTCTATTCTTTTAACGAAATGTTCAAAGGCAGAATTTCAAAAAGCTCGGTATAAAGTCAAAAGTAATTACTTAATTTCGTTGTATAAGGAGTCTTAGAGTTTTTTAAACTTCTTTTAAGTCCGACGCAAGCAAATGTATTTTCTTTAAACATTAAAAGGACATTTACATAAGTACTTCTAGGAGGCTTTAAATTAAACTGCATAAAGATTCCTTTCAATACGACGCCTGTAATTTATAAATTTAATTTCAACTTCGCTGAAAGAAATTCTGTGTGTACCTTGACACGAACCAGTCTCGAGAGAGTGAGTTGAGAAAGTTCAAGCAAATATTACTATTTCCTATTTTGATCTTTTATTTAGACAAGATTATTTTTATATAATAAAACTATCTTTAACAAAGTAAAAAGTTTAGAACCAATTATTGAATGATTGTCTTCTGTTAAAATTTTTCTTTAAAAATATATTAAAACAATTTTTTTTAATTAATTAAAGACAATAATTGCAATTTTTCGTAATGTAATGCAGAATTTTTTATCATTAATTACATTATAAATAGATATATAAAAATAACTCCAGAAATTTATTATTTTTGAGTGAAAAATGTGTCTTCTTTTGTGTTATAAAATAAATAATTGCAATAATTAAGGCACTCCACAGAAACGGCTTCCTTTACAATATTTTTTCCACAAACAAAAGAAAATTCCCCACAAAATTATTTCACGCAATTTATTACAGCGACAGATGTAATGAGAGGAATTATCATCAAAAATAATATGATTTCATCATCTTAATGATTATTATGCTAATTATTGCATTCTAAGCATTTCTTTACATAGCATTTTTTTAGCAATTAATTTATTTACACACACACACACACACACACACACACACACACACACACACACACATACACACACACATACTCATACACGAGAAAATAATTACCATATAATTAGTAAGAACGTTTTAATTCATAAACAACATAGCTTTTTATATATTATTCCCTACCATTACATTCTGTCTTCGAATCAAAGTCATTAATTTTCTTAATATAGAATATGCTGACTAACCTTTAGGTCCAAAGTGATTTCGCATCTCTCTCCCGCATATCCCAAAGGACAGAGACAGCCATGCTCCATACACCCTCCCCCATGTTCACATTTACAATCCTGAATGCTAAGTTCATTATCAATATCATTTAATTTCTTATCATCAATCAAATCGTATTTATCATTGTACATTTTAACGTTGTAATGTATTGTGTTGTCCAGTTTATTATGATCCTTCCCATCTCTCATAACTATGTCGTTGTCTTCGAAGTGTACTATATCATTGATGTCATATATATGTGAATCGATTTTAGGTTTTTTTGGTATTTCACTGGTCACTTCGTTTGGTCTCCACGGAGCGAGAGTAGGTGCACATTCCGCTGTAACAATATATTTTAATACGTCAATGCTAATGTACATATAAATATAGTTGAACCAAAATAATCTTTTGTTAGTTTATATGAAGAAAACATCGAAAATTCTTAAAGAAAAAGTATTCTTTTTTGTTATTTGTATACCAAATCTTCAGTTTTTATTGTTGAAACATTTGGTGTTTCCAAATTCGATTAAAGTGGATTTATTGTCTCGTATTTTTTGCAATAATCAAATCTTTTTCCCTTTAAGGACGAGAAACATTGAAGTATTCGAATGAAAAAATAAAGTAATGGTTGGTTTTAGGAGGTTTTGCCTTATTTTTATAGGTAATAAATCTTGTGACTAGATATTTTTCGATTTAGTCTGCTAAAAATCAAAAATGGTATGTTTTTTGTTTGAAATATGTATGTATTATTGCAAAATTTTGATATATGTTAAAGTTTTAGCCTTATAATGCTCAGAATTATTATCTCTAATGGATTTTTTTTGGAATTTTTCAAATTAATATACTCATATACAACTTAATAACAATATAAAAGTATTAACTAAAGGTAATGATTTAGCAAAACGTCATATAAATATCAGCGTAAAAAACAAATACGTTTTACATATTTATCTTTGCAATTTTCTGAAATGAAACTTCTTTGACAAAGGAATCTCCATATTTATTATAGAAAATCATTTGTAGGATAAAAAGTTTTATTTAAATATCGAAGTATTGATTTTTCGTGATTTTGATAAACAAAGAGGTATGTTAACAACCAATTTGAATGTCACGTAAACAAAAGAATTCGATAACTCCATATCCTGTGTGTAAATATTGATTGTGTGCTAGCAATGATGGAATTTTTTAACCGAAAAATCCTTAAACCAATATCGGAAAAAACATTTTTTAAATATATCTCTTTCTCTTAGTTAGTGGCGTTTCCTTATAGATTTTGTCGATGGTTATAAAGGTCTATCAGAGCCCACTGCTGAGCTGCCTCTTCTCACATGGAGAAGGTTTGAGCATTAATCACTACGCTTGCTCAAGACGGGTTGGTGATTTCAAACTTATAATATGAAATTATAAGTCTAGGTTTCCTCACTATGTTTTCATTCACGAAGTGTCAGTGGTGTCTAAATACTCTTAGAAAGTACATATGACTCGGAAAAATCACATTGGTACTTGCCAAGTTTCGAACCCGCACTCTAATGCACGAGAGGCGGGCTTTAACCACTAGGCCACCACGACTTACTGGGACACGCATTCCAATATATGTATAGTATTTATTTATTCTAATAAATGAGAATAAAAATCTTCTCCACTAACTCTTACATGTTATACTAAATACTAAGCTTTTATTCGTTTCAATTCTAATTATTAACATTTTACATAATATTTTTCATACATACATATATATTATTTATACCATATTATTTCCATATAATACTAATAACAGTACGCCCAAATTTTTTTTTGAAGAATCATTTATTACGTTTAACGTCAGCACTAAATCATTCAACTCTTATTCTTACAGAGAAAATGAAACAGAAGTTTAATATGACGTGTGTTGCAAGATTAAAATTTACTTTGTTATCATGATATATTATCTTTAGAAAACTTATTAAGTATACATTCTTAAAGGATTTATTAATATTTGTAAAAACGATTTATATTTTTTATATAGATTATAATCTTCTTCTTTAGTTAGTGTCTTTTTCTTATAGATTTCGAAAATTTTGTGTATTGATTTTATACTAACCTATGTAAAGAGGGATTTTTTAAAGAACGTTGTCGCGACTAGAAGCTAGGATACTGCTGAGATCTTTGACCGAGGGGTATAATGTTGTAAAAACAAATAAAAAAAGACGCACACTATATATATATATATATATATATATATATATATATATATATATATATAACTAACTAATATGTCAATCATTCTGTCGCACTTTAAAACACGGAGATTTAGGGCTTTAATAGGTAAACTCCAAAAATATAAATAAAAAAACTTAACAGATATTTCTTGATTATAGTGCAATACGAAGTTCGCCGGGTCTTCTAGTATATATACTTGTTTAAAAGATACAGTCTACAGCTTGATATTACATACTTTGGTTACTAAATGTATATTAAATATAAAGAAAAGGCGTATAAACAAAATAGAGTAAGGATTTGAAGTCAATGGATCGGGGTATATCAGGAATAAGATCATAGAGAGGAGAATATAGTCGAGGGCAAGTGAAAAATGTGATCTTGGATACTTCATCATTACTGCACTCGCAGAGAGCGGTCCTTTATACGAAGCCTAGCCAAATGGACAAAGGTATAGGCGTGCAATAGCTTTAATCTACAGAAGAAACTTCTCATCATTCAATGTATTCATATGCGTGTGTCGGGTCCATCGTTGTAGTGAGAGGAGCTTCAACAGTGACTGGGACTTGCGACCCAGGTGTAGGTTTAAGGGACCCTTTAAATTTATTCTGGTAACGCGTTTATGTGAGTTTATTATATGTCAAATACTTGACATATGTCAAATGATATTTGACAGAAGCTGAGCTCATTTACTAAGGTAACTTACTCCGGACCCTTAATATTTGAGAGTATTTATCAGTTCAGGAATATATCGTGTAATCTATATAAACGATGTCATTGACCCCTTCACGGAGTTTGCGAAACCGTATTGTAAAGTTTCCGGAGCTCGCAATGTTTTGAAGTTGGATTGTTCTAGACTGTTCGGTTGAGTTAATTTTAATAACAAGCGTGAGTTTGAATTTACTGAGTTATATAAATATACATATATTTATCAGACATCGATATATTTATGTAATGATTATATTTATTGATATTTTCTTTCATTAAGTATACATATATTATTTAGCATTTTAATAAACACTATACAAGAGCGTCAGTGGTGGCCTAGTGGTTAATGGCCGCCTCTCGTTGCCGAGGGCGCGGGTTCGATCCTGGCAAGTACCAATGTAATTTTCCGAGTTTCCGAGTTTACAACATTTTATTAATAATTATATATCGTTTAACACGTCTATTATAAGATTGAGAACGGAAAAGAAGAAGTAGCTTTTAATTTAATAAAAGAAGAATACCTCGAATACTTTACTAAACTTTTTTTCCATTTCCTTGAAAATAAATCCTACTAATATTATAAATGCGAAAGCCTGTTAGGATATATGATAGTAATGACGTTTTTTGCTCGTTGACACAAAAACAACTAAACAAATTGCGATGAAACTTTATAGAAAGGTAGGTTATAGAACAGAATAAGACATGGACTCTAGACTATAGACGTTACGATATATGTATATATAGCAGCATATATAACATAAAATTAAGTGTAGTTGCATAAGTCATACATACATTTGTATTATGTATGAGATCACATGACGTAAAATAAAAATATGAACAAATGTATATATTTAAATATCACTGAGTATAATTCCAAAGCTTATTAGAACCGCTTTATTAATGTTTTAGACAAAAGCCTAATGCGTTTCTTATGTACTGATTAGATATTATTACATAGATAAAATATTGGCAATAATAAATGCGAAATAAATTTTGATCTTGATGTGTGCAGAAAACACGTTTTTTTATAAGTTAATATAGATTTTGGTTCAAAATAATGGAATTATTTAACCCTTAAGAATAAGCGTAATTAAGGGAGGGTCACTTTGACCAAATAATAAATTATATTTCTGCGGCACTGTTCTTGATATTTGTCTTTAGTAAGATTAATGACAGTTTAGGATCCTATTTTTATTGTTTTCTTTGAACAGTTATTTATTTATGTATTTCTAGTCATATAATATAAAATACTAGCAATAATTATATATAAGAATTTATAATTATATACCTAAGAATTTATGTAATAATCACTATGGAATTTCTTAGTTTGAGATTTTTTATAACCGTTCATCTTGTTTGATAATATTTTTAATTATACATTTTTAACACTTTTTTTAAATTAGTCACTCGCTTTTTATCGAAAATCTGAGTTTAATGAGCTATTATATTTTACATATTTTTGCTAATAACTTAAAGGAATGCTAACAATAGTTATTATTATCATACAATTAAAATGTCCTTGTATCAAACGACTCAGTTTTTAAGGAGTGAATATTGATGGAAAAAATTACAAACGCCTATTTCAAAGTCAAAATCAGTGGTGGCCTAGTGGTTAGAGGCCCGCCTCTCGTGCACGAAGACGCGGGTTCGATCCTGGCAAGTACCAATGTGATTTTCCAAGTCATATGTACTTTCTAAGAGTATTTAGAAAACTCTGACAGACGGTGAAGGAAAACATTGTGAGGATACAATGACTTATAATTTCACAATTATAAGTTTGAAATCACCAACCCGTCTTGAGCGAGCGTGGTGATTAATGCTCAAACCTTCTCCGTGTGAGAAAGAGGCCTTTGCTCAGCAGTGGGCTCTGATAGGTAGATTTCAAATGGACGAAATAATAATATGTTTTCGTTGTTTAAAATTAATCGTGATAAATTAAAATAAACTGACTCATTCTGACAAATGACTGGAGAAAAATATTAATAGTTAATTAATTAAAAGGTAATATGTATATGAAATAAATCAATTTAAAATGAAAAGCTATGTACTAAAAACTCATTATTGTACTGACACCAAGATTCTTCTTCTTCTTTAGTTAGTGGCACTAAGTTTCACGTTATTGTCTTTGAAGAATGTCAAAGTCATGAGTTCGCATATTCAAAATGAACGAAGACGGAATTGACACTAAAGACATGGATTTTTATTAAAAAGTTCTGAAAAAACTAGACGAAACTATTTGTTTTCAGTTTTCAATTCAATGTAGTGTTTGTTATTAGAAATAGTTTTTTAAAGAATAAAGCGACAACAGCAGCTTTTAAGAAAACGATGATAATTGTAGTGAGCATGATAGTCAGCGCTTTAAAGATGTTTCAAGATAGATTTGAAGGTAAAATGAAACTAATACTTTCGGATTATACTACGCATATTTTACTATTGATAAAACTACATACCCTCGACGTTTCGGATACTTTTCAGC